GATATATATTTAATTAAGGTTTTGTTTCAGCATGGACGTGAAGATTTAAGCTGATGATGAAATCTGCTTGCATCAAATATATTTGCTAATAAAATGTTGAATAATATGTATCAATTTGTTTTTTTTTTTTCGTACCAAACATCAAACAGAAAAGTAATAGCCAAATTTCTGCTATCCAAAATGGTAACTTTTACTATAATTAAGGGCAAATCACGTATCATATAGATAAACATAATGAAACTGTAAAGAGAATTGACGCAGTTCAAACCCTACCGTAACGACTGTTATGGTTGAAAATAAAACAAAAAATACTTATGTCGATAAATTCTAGTACTATAGCTTCATTACAATACTAAACAGTTACCCTAAAACCTAACGCTACCCTAGTTACTCCTATAGATAAGTATTTACATTTGTAGTAACCCTTACCAGTTACAAATTAAAAAATGAAGTTTCTACCTTTTACTAAACGACTATGTCTATCTATGCAGTGAGTTATCTTAACTTGTCGAGTAGACAACGTGTACCAATTAATTTGATTAAATAAACACATTAATTTTGAGTAAAGGTTATCACGTATTCGTCAACTGCATACGATCGCAAGGCGGGACGGTACAAAGTCGAAGAGAAATTAACAAATGTACGTTAACCTTAAAACGCCTAATTTGTCACGAAGATAAACTTACTTTTTCTTTTTACTAATCCCATTTTTATCTGTGCTCATTACAGTATTTATACGCACAGACTCAATTACACCTATTAGTTCAAACTAGAATAAACTAACTATATATTCTTATATTGAAAAATGGAGTGCTCGAAATTCATTTTTATATGCGTAATTTTAACATCGGTGAGTATTGTACAATAGTAAACTAGTTTGTCAAAGACATCTGTAGCTTTATAAGGTTTTCTAGAATCGTTGCCGAAATGAATTAGACAAAAGAGAGAACAAACACTAAAAAAAACTTATTTCCTATGTATCCCTTTTCCTGTCGTATTCGTTTCGTATACCTGAACCACTTTTTTCTTGTGCAAAATGAAAATAGGCAGACGACCGTTTTCACCCATCTCTTAAAAATTTGTGGGCTTTCTAAAAATAATCTCGCTTTAACCAATTTTAAGATGTCACCTAAGTTCATTACTTTGGTTTAAATTTAGGAGGGCCTTAAAACAGAGACACCTATCTAAGAATACTTAAGACTGGTTGGTGAATGGCCATTAGACACCCTGAATTTCATTTTTTTGTTTTTACCGACAGAAGCAATGTACTCGTATTATCAATTCTACTTGTAACAATTAATTCGCTGTTTTAAATAATTGTAATAATACTGCTTACATAGATATTCAGCAACATGGTTATGGCAGAAGATGATCTAGAAGAAGGAAGGTCTGGGATAAAAAAATTGTCTTTCGGCACATGCGACTATGCTACGAGTAAGCCGCCGGTTGGTAATCTTAGTCTATAACTATAAGTGAAGATATAATACGCATCTGCAATTGTGGATGTTTATGGGCAGCGATCGCTTTCCATTTCGGTGGATTCAGGTGGTCGCTTGCTCATTTGCCACCTTATATTATATAAGAAAAAATTATAAAACAATGAAAAAAAAACCCTTAATATCAATAGAATTAAGTTTTTAAAGCTGGATAAAAAAACAGTTAGCACACAATCTCTTTAATGATCTTAATATTATAAAGAAGAAACATTTATATTTTTGTATGTATTGAAATACCTCAAAAACTATTATATTTTTCAAATATTTATTTTTTCACACGGCTGAAGTCGAGAGCAACAGCTAGTATAAGATGAAAATACAAAATACCCTTTCTGTGAGAAAACTATAACAGTGTTAATTATTAAGTAACTTTTACATGGTACATCGTTTTGAAGTTTATTTTATTTTGCAGCATCGATCCTGTGCAAATTGTAACGAAGAAATGCATTGTACATCGGACAACGTCAGTATCAAGATACCTTGTATTGGTCCCTTCAAACATTGTAACCAGGGTCGATGCTCTTTTGTAGCAAGCAAAATCTGCGCTGCTAAAAATAAAAACAAACAATAACGCATCCGGCACTAATTTCAACGCAACTTAATAAAATCACTAGAACTGTTATGTACATTGTTTAATTTGAACACACCTAATTTTAGTTAAATACCTGTAGTCCAAAAGATACTGCAAATCTGCCGAAATTTCTAAAAAATCGTAAATTTTGTAGACAAACCCAAGAAGACCGATTAGTCAATCCAATAGGGACTATAAATAATCTTACTAATCTTACTAATATTATAAATGCGAAAGTTTAGATGTATGGATGGATGTTTGTTAGAGTTTGTAGCCTAAACGGCTGAACAGATCTCGATGAAATTTGGCAAAGACGTAGTGGATAGTCTGAAAGAACACATAGGCTACTCCCTTTTGTTTTTTTTTAATTCCACGCGGACGGAATCGCGGGCGAAAGCTAGTAAACTATAATTACTAATAATTCTGTTCAGTACAATTATAGTAATCAGTACTTAATACGTATCTCCGACCAGTGTTAAAATGAACCTAGAATTCTATACATCTTTAGCCACGCGCTGCATGCAACACGATCTCACGAATAATTTAGTATTATTATATCCTGAAACTAGTGCTAGTAACTAAAAGCAAATAATGCATTTCAATATGTGGTATATGCTTCCGCCTAAGTTTGCTTTTCAATTATGAAAAGATCAAGGTTGTCAACAGATTTAGTGTAGCGTAATCAAAAATGATGAGTTAATAACGGAAGATATAAAAATGTTTCTCGTATTTTAATTTAATTTTCCGTCATGTAGTATCTGAAGCACCACTTTTAGGAAAAATTGCAAAAACGAACGTGAACTTTTACTCGGAGTTAATTTGAAGATGTGCTGTTTTTAATCAAAAATAAAATAAATACAAACTTATTTAAGTAAGTTGATGGCAACCCTAAGCAAAACAATAAACTTATTATTTTACCGTCATATATAAAGTCATACGAAAGCATCTCGTACATTGTAAGTTGGTAAGTTGCGAGTGTCAATATGATTCTTAGCAATAAATATATTTTCCTACTTGTGGGATTGGTAAGTATTTTAAATATTTTACATACAACAATCGTAGAAAAATAGAAATTCGTATTACCCAACTGCGAGTGTCCACTGTCATACTGATTAGAACAATAGAGCCGTCAAATTCATTTATTTATATAAAAATGAGCCCAAAACAGCGACAAAAATAATTGAAATTTGGAGTTAAATGTGTTATAGAGAAAAAACAAATGCCGACCGCACGTTGAATCTTTTAAAAATAAATCAACGTATTATTTATTGAAATTACATTTTACAGTTTGCTGCCCACCTGATATTTGCCCAAGAGTCATCTGAACCGCCGAAGAACGACAATGGATCAGGCAACAACACATCACAAAGATTCTTTTTCCATCAACGCTTCGTCAGTTGTAACTACACCGCTCAGGTAACAAACTGATTTTCTGCATTCGAGTTAAATAGTAAACAAATTCTAATTTATATTTGCCGGATTTTATCGCGTTTATTTAAAATATTGCTAACGGTTCAAGCGCTTTGTAGAGCACTGAGGTGTTTAACAACTCAATGTCAAAGTTGCTTGTCAATTACCCAGTTTTTAATTTTTTTTTGTTCCGATCTATGCAAAAATACCTCCTCAATCTCGTGGTGCGACTACAGCATGATATTACCACATAATACTTGCATATTTCAATTATAAATTGAATGTAATTACTTTATTTTAGAATTGTTATTCGGGATGCTACATAAATGTATAAATGTTGATGTTCCAGGCCGGCCGTAGTTGTCTCGGTTGCAGAACAACGTTAGTCTGTGCGCAAAACAACGTAGGTGTAGCGAGACTCTGCAAAGGTTTCCTGCGTTACTGTAACCAAGGGCTATGTTCGGGTGTCCCAGGCGCAGCTTGCAGCGGTTAATGTTTCTTTAAATATTTTATTGTTACTAATTCAAACTGAAGTTCGAAACTTGTTCGTAACTTTGTAATAGCATACTATTTTAAGCAATAAAATACTTGGAGAAAAATGTGTAAATATGCGTTGTTCTTGTTACCAAACTTACTTAAGAAAGTAATAGCTTTTTGGTGAAGTATAAAAGATTTATATTCAAAATTCTTTTGAATATAAATTTTCAATATTTTATTGCTATAATCGGGAATATATTTTTTAAACTACCCTTACCCTTACTGAACTATAATTTCAAAACTACCTACATTAATCAGCCAATCAATACTAATTGTAGGTTAAAATAAAACAACGCCTTCGTCATGTTCTCGTTTATTTACATTTAACACGACATTAAAATTGATAAACGTCACTACGAATACATTTGAATAGAGACATCGCAAAGAGAAGAACTACAGTATATTTTAAAATTATTATCATTCCAAGGTCACAAAATGTTGATTATTTATTGTCATACATGTAAGAAGACGCTTCATAAAAGGTAAGATAGCTCAAAGCTTATAATTTTAAATATATGTAAATTTTTAAATTTTAAGATACAATTATTTGTCAAACACAGCTAATTCTAGTCAATAAAGAGACCACGTTAATTTAAAAGATATGCAAGATTCCCTACGTAATTGAATAGATGGATAAATAAATTATCACAACTTACTATATACTACAGTTTTTAGACAAGAAATAAATTAAAAGTTTTAATAAAGGTTGTATAAACTACGTTATTATAATTTTTAAACGCATAAACGTTTCGTATTTGCGATTGACAATTAAATTTAAAATACTTCTTACTTAATTTATTATTTGTCGATTCATAAGTAATTAGCAAGCCATTGTCGTCATTAGGAATCAGATCTGTTACGTCTTAAACTACATCTTATATTAATAATTAAGTCTATAATAAAATCAATTTAAATCACAACATGTAACATCAAATTCTACGTAAATGTATAATTATTGTCCTATATAGGATTTCCTTTGCTATTTTCGCATATTTTGCCGATGACGATGCTCCAGAGCTGGGTAGGTTATGTTTTAACTATTGTCCCTTGCTTGAATTGCGCGATCTCGCATCGCTTCGGCAGCGGCATAGCTACTGGTTCTTACGCCTGCTCGGTAGACTGCTGTTGCGGTAAGTCTTCCTGAGCATAATGTTGTCAACGGCGGGCAACAGGAGGTATCTCTTGCCGGACGAGTGGTATGGGACTTTTAGCGATCTGAAGTAATGAAATCTGGGGAAGTCCTTAGTTGTCTGCCAGGTGTTCTTGGAGAAGGAGTCGAGGGCGTTGGAGGAAGCAGGCGGTAAGGCGGCTGGTGCGGATGGTAGGTCGTTCAACGAGCGGTGGAGGTACCGGCCGGTCGGGTGCGAGTGAGCAAGTATTGGCGGCGGCGGTAGGTCGGAGTCGTCTGAATCGATTGCTGGCTCAACTTCGGGATTAGAGATATATTGCCTAGTAACAAAAAATTATATGTTGATACTAGGTATTATTTGTAACATTAAAAGTCCTGCAGTATCTTAACGATTCTGATTGTACTCGTATGTGGAAGTACATAACGAGCCAATCAGATTTAGAAAACTGAAACTCGCCTGGTGCGTTTACATTGACTATTTTATTTCAATACTCATGGAAATGATTTATTTCGCTGACTTTTTCTTTTACATTTATAGAATGTTTTAATAAATCTTAAATCAGAGTTTATACTGTAGCTACGAGTACCATAGAGACTTAAATTAACAGTGACCTTACCTAACTCCGAAATTCTCGTCAGCGGAATGCTTCCTGGAAAAGAAAAAACTTTTATAGCACAATTATATTTAGATCTATAATTTAACTACACATCTGATTTCGATGGCTATGTTGTAGCACAACTAATTGTCATGCGGAACGACACAGTATTCTAATTCGCACAAGAAACTTCGATCCATCACATTCCACCGTCCTTACCTATCAGTTCAGAAGCTTATACTATTCTACACACGAATTCAATCAAACAGTAAAAGATATCTCGAACACCGCTCTGCACGTCTAAAAACATTTCTACCACCAAAAACATGCTTCGATCGACAATAAGATGACACTTTAGGCAGATAATGTTTCCCTTAATTTGTGGCTATATTGTTTAAGTTGATTAAACATCTCTTAATGTTGACCGAAGTTAACATGCCTTTCACGTTCGCTACACGATAATCCATATCAGAAGCATTAAAGCACACATTTTCTACTACACATTTAGTCCTAACACAATCTAACATCGATGTTTATCAAATCTTGACATTACAAAACCTGTATAGTTCCTGACTAGGCAACAACAGTCTGGCTCGTCCAGATCTGCTGTAACGGCCTCCTGAGAACCTAAATGACGGCAAAAGACCTAACCGAGCCAAAGACCCAATGTGACGTTTTACGAAATTATCATGGACTTCATCTTCATCTGTAACAGATGTAACAAAAGCACATACAATTACTAAATAATCATATTAAGTCATCAAATTAACTCTATCTATATTACTCACCTACAGATCTCTTGTCTTCGTTTTCATTCTCATGGTCGTTATTTTCTGGTGCATCTATTTCGTTATTGTCCATAACATCAGGGAGGGAAAGTATGTATCTCTTTGAACGTGAAGTAGGCTCCATATAAATTGGTCTATAGAGCCCGTGAACAGGCATTCCTACAGTTCCTCTTTTGAAATACCAATTGCGATCGTAATCATTTTCATTAGTATTATCAGCATATACCAACGGTCCTGCTTCGCTGCGTTTAAAAACTTGCGATAATGGTGGTAACATATCTGGGTTTACAGATTGTTGGAAATCGTACACTTCATTAATATCGAATGGACCATCAATTTCGGACAAAGGTGGCACTGGATTTTGATAGAACGGGTAATAATATTCATCGCCAGGTATTTCATCTCTCTTGTGAATCAATCCATTGCGAGCCAACGAGGCAATGTTCCGTTTTTCATTGGGCTGATAATGTCCTCGACCGACGCGATAGCCATCTCTAGCCAAAGACTGGATGTTCCTTTTGATAGCGGTGTAACTACGAAGTCGTGCTATGGCGGCGATATTTCTTTTCTCGTGAAATTCTTCGTCTTCTTGTTCTGGTTTGTCGCCTTCGTTATAAGGAGCCCTGAATGTGGGTAGTTGTCCATTTTTAGCCAGTGTGGAAATGCTCCTCTTGAAGCTTGGGGAGACGCTTTTCAGATAACCTTCTCTCGCGAGCGCTGCTATATTCCTTCGAGGGAAAGACGGCCATTGGTCCGAGGTATCAGCGGGCAAACTGGATACCTAAGAAATGTTAAGTGAAGAAAAGAAAAGGTAAGTGACATCTAATTTAGCTTACACATTTTGCTTCTATAATTAAAAAAAGTACCTGATCAATATAAGTTGCCAGAGCAAGTACCAATATAACGCCGAATAAAAGGCGATGTCTTCTATTATTTGCCCGGCTAAAGCCCCTCATCTAAATCACAAGAAATAAAAACATTTATCATATAATTGTAATATGTAATATTAAGAAATGCAGTCCATCCATTGTAAAATGTTGTATAATTTCATTTAATATTATAATAGCATTTTATAAACTCTTTAAAGTTGGTATAAGGAACAAACACTAGAGCGGTTCCGTTAATTGTGTGTCAAGCGGAAGACAAAGTTGGCAGATTCAATTACGTAGCCGTGTTCTAGTGCTTGGTACACCTGACCCGTAAGCACAATAGATGTTCAGGCAAAACGACCGCGCCACCCCTAAGCAATTAACTGTGAATGCAAATAATATCTTTGGCCTCGCTAGCGTTTATGTAACTTTAACTTTAAAGTCGCTTACAGGATTATTTTTCAAGAGTGTTTCCAGAAAATAATCATTTAGTTCACTGGAATTTTTTTAATTTCTTTAATTAGTTTTAGCTAAATTTTTACTTTTAAATATCACTATAATTTGTGAAATGAAAACTCAAGTTATTCTTTATGAGATTAAAAAGGCCCAGAATTGTGTAATCATTAAAGTTTAGTACATTTAATTCCATTACACTGTGGAATTTTGCACTACCTTCGGTTGTTTCAAACCTTTTGCACATCTATTGTGTTATTGCATTCTCTGAATAGTGCTCGCTAATTGCGAAATATCGTAACATCAAAGCATTCCAATAGAACAAGAGTATTTCCATATTGATAATTGGAACCTGCTCGCTCTCTGCATAATCCCTATTCGATAATCCACTTGTTCTCGGTTTGATTCGCATATGTTTAAAATCTAACATTTCGATTCTTGATGTATCTTCATTATTTAATGACGAAAAATAGTTTACTCTCTAATTTTGAAAAATGGAATCTATAAAAAAAACTTTGATTTCTATTGTTATCGTTTGTGTTCGTAAATTTATTTTTTTAAATTGCAAACATTAAAAGAAAGTAAAACAAATGAAGCCTCGCTGAATGAGGCTGAATGTGTACAATGTGACAGTGAAACGTGTTACATGAATGCCTAACGTTTGTGAAAGTTGAACGTAAAGATAAAACAACACCAACACTACAAAGGAAATGAGAAAACTTAAAATAACACCATTTTGAGTGACACTGGCATTTACAAAAGAAAAACGTTGATATTCACACAATACAAAGAATATATAATTTAAAGAAACATTAATACTTTTTTTTACAATCTAACAGAAAATTCTAAAACATGATCAAGTCTTTAATTGAAGGGCAATTGAAAAAGCAATTTCATTTGCCAGCAAATTTTCGTCCAACCTGTATCGACTAATTGAAATAAACCCACTCAATAAATATAATTGAATATCTGAATTTCACTCAACCTTTCACATTTACACGAGTTACAGAACAAATAATTTTTTTCCGAATAATAACGACTCAGAAAATTTGTAATTTAAACAAATCTATTGAATATATAAATGGATTACTTATTACATTTAAAAAAATAAGTTAATTTTAACCTTATTGTGATATATTTTAGTTTTAAACATAATATGGTTTTGATAAATTAATCTAAAGTCTTATTGAGGCCTTGTACCTGTTTCATGAAATAAATATTACGTATCGCATCTACGAGTTTTGAGACTTTGCCGTCGTTAACTAAGCCGCCATTAAAACTTCAGTTATACGAGTAAAGAAATATTTCATTTAAATTGCTGACATGAAATAAAATTTTGTGATAGGTAGCACCTATCACAAAATTTTATTATATTTTAAAACAGCTGTAAAAAATTTTTATGACTTGAAGCTTAAGATATACGAGTATATATATTTTCAATGTAATAGAGAAATGAAGTTATCGTTGAGATTTTTTTTTTAAAGTAAGTGCCCCGACACTATGGATGTCTATCCGGCCAACCATGCAAAAATTTTGTAAGAGAATAACTATATTTCTAAGACATTTGCTATATGAAAAAAAAACATTAGTAATAACTGACAGCAATCAAACCTCAATATCAATTAAACTTAAGATTTTATAATAATGAATGAAGTATATTAACTTTAACTTAAATACCAAGTTACCATGTACCAATTAGTCAAAATAAAAAAGGAACTCGTGGTGCGAACGTTTTATACTTAAATTTTTCATTTCAGGTGATTTTTTAAAACATATGAAAATCATTAAAAAAATAACTAATTTATGGAATAAATATATAAGACAGAAATCGTCTTGGATGGTTATACATTTTATTTATTTTATCCTTCTTTAACTACATTTTAAATTACTTTAATTAACATCGGTGTAACTAGCATTAAAAAAAAACTTCACTTTAATTTCAAATATACATTTATAAGGAAATAAAATATAAACGTTAAATAAAATACCACTAAACTTACCTTGACACGTAGACCTCGATTAAGCCCACTTATTAAAGTTGCTATTTATAGAAACTTTTTTTATCTGTGTTCCTTGGTCCTGAAGCTTTGGGATGTTGGCGGGAATGATAGTACGTGCCCGCGGGTTGAGCTTTTATAGTCGTTTTAGCTGTAAAATACGCATGCGCTTGAATCCTAAAGGCAGAGTTACCTCAAGTTCATTCTTCATGCAATGTGCACTTTATTTGATAGCTTTTCAAGGTCGCGCTGATATTTAAATCAGATACAATCGTACTTTACTTAATAAAGCTTAACACTTTAGCTGCAGAGTTCATTTATACGCAGACGATTTAATTATTCGGTCAATTAATCGAAAGAGCGATTATTCCCAACCGTACCCCACTCTGTCCCCACGAGAGAGTAAAAAGTTTCATCCGTCCCACCTTTTAGTCCCACTATCACCAATAAGGTGACGGATGGAACCGTTATGAAAAAATGAGTTTCAACCGTCCCTCGTCGCAAAAGGTTGGATGAAGCTTTTTATTCTCATCCCTCTCCACGTGGGGACAGAGCGGGGTGACGGTTGGGAATAATTCCGGAAGAGGCTTATTTTATGTAAATAACTATAAGAAACTCTTTCATTTTAGTCTTTTTTAGCAAATTGTAAAACCTAATCGAAGATCATGCTTTTTGATAAAAAGTGGTGTTATAGGAAGTACTGTTAAAGATATTTACGAAGATTGAGAATATTAACCAGCGATCTTTTACCATAGTTTTATATTAACGGCTTTTACATTAAAAAAAGTAATTTGACGTCTTAAAATGTACAGAATATACTCATTTAAGTTGACGCAGCCGACGGGCTTATTGTGGCCATTGTTGTCTGCTAATGGCCCTCTAAAGCCAAACACTTCAACCGCCGTCAGACGTCTATTGCGCACAAAGAAACGACTAGTCATTTAATTGTATCGCAAGCTTACACATTGTATTTATAATGTCACTATTTATATTGAAGATTGCACATGAACATATTGATGCTGCGTAAATCAAAACCTGGTAATAAATGCTATTATTTTTCACTAGCTGTTAATTGCGACTTCGCCCGCGTGTAATTAAGAATAGTAAAATAGGCTGTTACTCACTGACACCGTAGCTTTGTGAATGTATTTTTCAAATCGGCCTAGTCGTTTTCAATACATACAAATCTTTCCACTTTATAATATTAGTATAGATATAGATTTAGTATTCAGTGTTCTACGGAATAGAAAAATTCGTGACTAGAATTTTAGTGGTACTTATTCTTTTATTGAGCGTCGGTGGCTCAGTGGTTTGAACACTTGACTTGTAATCTACAGGTCGTGGGTACGAATCCCGCCATGTACCAATGTGATTTTCGATTTTTCGTATTTTCATATGTACATAATTTACCCGACGTTCTTACGGTGAAAGAAAACATCGTGATGCAACATCTCTGCACATATCGGCGAAGAAATTCAAAGATTGTGTGAAGTCAACCAACCCGCACTTGGCCAGCGTGGTTGACTATGGCCTAGAAACCCCTATTAGGGTAGGCTCCGATCCCCTCGGTGGGGACGTATAGTCAGCTGGTGATAATGATGATTCTTTTATACGTATTATAAAAATCACTAGTCTCACAAAGGGCTGCCTCATAAGTTTTCAACTGTTTGCTACGACGTAGCTACAAGCTACGATTTTTTGAATACTACTTATAGTAACTGATGTAAAACCCTTAAAAATATGTATTATCTCCATTTATGTATAACTTGTATCTCAAATAATAAAATTTTAACCCGGGTAAAATGTGTTGCATGTCGAATAAATTGATTCCCTTCAATTAATTAAAGGGGAAAGGAATTGGCTCCAGTAGCACAGGGGAACCTAGTTAATTTTTTTATTTATTTATTTACTAGATTTCGCCTGCGACTCCGTCCCCGCGGAATTAAAACAAAAAACAAATACAAGTTGCCTATATGCTCTTTCAGATTATCTTCTACATCTACGCCAAATTTCATCGAAATCCGTTCAGCCTTTTAGGCTACAAACTTTAACATCCATCCATCTAAACATTTCCATTTATAACATTAGTACGATATTAATAAAATAAATGCTGCGTTAGATTTGCCGATCATATTTACATTGAATAAAATGTATACTTTATTAAAACCTCTGTAATATTAAACGATGGGACGGGTTACAGTGTTGCCAACTTTACGATATCGTAAAAACTGAAATACTAACTTGTGCTGCTCGCAATAACTTAATGAAACTTGAGACAACTTTATACTACAGTAAGAGAAACCTATCGGTTATTACCTTTTCTTCTGAAATGGTAATAAAATGTTTTCTATTGAATTTGTATTTTTGTCGCAAAAGATAATCTCCTTTACATTTCCCGTCACAGTACCAACATTTATATTTTTAAACATGTATTCCAGGTTTAAGTAAAGGGGTTTGTAATTTCATTTCCTACTCAATTAAATCCGTGTATTTTCGTACGTCCATAAAGCATGTATCATTGAAGTAGAAACTAACTTCGTTTGACATTGGCCCTGCAGGAGAGCGGACTTAATTTGATTAGTGTTAGCAAACTCGGCCTTAACTGTATCACGTTACTGCCGACATACTGAAAGTCGACATTTTAACTTATCACTCTGTGCTTTTGCAGTCTGGTAAAGTACGTACTAAATATACGCTCCTTTTAGCAATTGGGGAAGGTTGCAAAAATAAACATATGAAATAGAGTAAAAACAGGAAGTTAGAGGATTAATGAAAATGTTCTAAGGGTCTGTAATCTCGTCTGTTAATATTTAAGTACGTACTAAAACAAACAGTACATTTAGTGTCGTTTAGTAAATAAATCTATTTTATAAAATACGAAAATACCAAGGTTTTTATATGTAAAGTTTTATTTTATTTTAACGAAATTGATTATAGAGCTTTCAAAGTTTCTGAAACAGAAATAACGAGAAGTTTGTTAAAAGCTTTGTCCCGATAACTCAGCCGGATCTGAGACCGCGGCATAAACAATTTTCATCCAACATTTTACTTTGTATCTCAAGTTACATAATCTATTTTTATTTATTTTCTAATACTTATTCTGTATATAATAGAATTGAGTTTTATTATCATTTCGAAAGTAGCAAAGATAATATAATACTAGTATGAATAATAAAGTTTAAATTTCGAGTAGTATTACGTTTTTTTAAACTATTATTAAATTAAATGAAAAAAAGTGAAATTTTCAGTTATTTGCCTTTCTTCATATCGATGTCGAAATAGATTATATTCCAAATTGAAATAGTTTCTGCCTACCCGTCTGACGCATGTGGGAATTATACATTTTATAGTGGAAAATTTACGTCACAGAAAGTCTACACGGTTATCAAATCGTAACGTAAGTTGCGATCAAATCGAGTGTAATTGGGCGTACGGGGAATTCAGAAATCGTCTTATTACACTCACATTTCAATTTATGAATATTGGAGAGTTTCCAGGAGAGGAGTTAAGTATACTGTAATATTTTGCTTAATAAAATTGTCTGTGTAATGTGTAGTCCAATAAGTTTAAGATAAATTAAAACATAATGAAATAAAACAATTAAGTATCATAAAAAATACATATAATTTTACTTAATAACGCCAATAAAGAATTTTAACATTCACTTAATAACCTATAAATTAGTTTCTAGTTGTAACACTCTCAAATCAGTCAATTTGCTTTCAACAAGATCTAAATCATTCAGTCGTTCTAATGTTGTTATATTTGAAGGTTGGGATACACTCAAAGTGGAAATATTAACATCTCGCTCAATACCACTTTTATCTACAAAATTGTCCAATGTTGGTTCTTTTTGATATTCTCCTTTTGGAATTTTCAATAGTTTAGGCACTTTAGAAAATTCCGCTTTAAATGGTCTTGACGAAAACGTCGACGTAAGGTTATTTATCTGATTCAATACTTCTGAAATAAAAAAAAAAACTTTTTCATTGAAGTTATATACTAATATTAAAAAAAATCCTTTATACTGTCTGTTGTAATCTATTTTTTTTTATGAACTATAAAAACAACAAAATCGTCTTCTAAGTTTAGATTCAAGATCCTTAAATTAGCTATCAAGTAAATAAACTAAAAACCTGTAAATCATTATTTGATTTTTGTTTATAGTACAAGGTGACAAATGAGCAATTGATCGCCAGAATTTTCAAAATTAGCGAAAAAACCATAGACAATTAAAACTCTTTATTTCAAACTAGCTTTCGCCTGCGACTCCGTCCGCTTGGAATTAAAAAAAACACATAATTAAGTAGCCTATGTGTTCTTCCAGACTATCTTCTACGTTTAGGATATAAACTCTAACAAACATCCATTAATCCATCTAAACTTTCGCATTTATAATGTTAATATGAGTATGATTACTACAATACATACCTGAAATCTGTAAATCCACATCTACACGGCTGATATCTTCACAATCTTTAATATCTTGTTCTAGTGTCACTTTATGTCGATTTAATACAGCTTTTCTTAATGAAGGACGTTTCCTCGCAGGTGAATAAAAACAAGAAATTGAGTCTCTTTTACTAACGTTATCAGAACACAATTCATCTAAACGTGCTGAGAAATTCGATTTAAAATTCTGTTTCAAATGTTTTGTTAATTTGAAAAGTGGATACTTTGCTGGTGAACGAATATTAGTTCTAGCAAACACGCTTCTTGATAATATATTTTGCTTAGGTGTAACGCGTGTTTCGTTATTTACTTTACATACTGTGTATGTGCCGTTTTCTTCTGCACTTTCATCGAACAAATCATTATCTTCCTCAGGACGTAGTAATTTATTTATTTTGTTAACTATCGTGTATAGCAGTTTTAGACGTTTCAGCATTTGTTCAAATGTGGCAGTCTTTGAGGATTTCTTCACTTTGTAAAGAAAATCGGATCCAGAACTAAGAAGATCGCTGACGACTTTGCATTCTAATTGAACTGTAATGTAAAAAAAAATATGTTCATGGGTTAAAATAGTATTCTTTATTAAGGTATTGTTTTAAATCTTTAATGTGTTTTAAACTAGGTTTAAAGTAAATAGCTTAAAAGTAATTCTTCTAGACTATCCTCTACATTGATGCCAAATTTCATCGAGATCCATTCATCAGTATAGGCTGCAAACACTAACAAACATCCATCCATTCATCTAAACTTATATTATGACGACATAGATTAAAAGTAACTTAAAACTTTTAAACTAAAAAACATATTAAACCTGACATATTCAGAACATTACAATACAATTTATATTAAATGCTGTTTCTTAGTTACATTTGAAGGAACAACTTGATTGACATGCACAATATTATTTTAGAAATATTAAAAAGTACTAAACAAAAAAAAAAAACCTTATATATCTTACCTTTATTTAAATCTGATAAAAGCGGGATCAATTGTTCACGCTCTTCAATAGCATCAGGTTCAATTTTTTCATAAACATCAAAAAAATCGTAAACAACACTTCCAATATTTATAACAGAACAAATCTTATTATTTTCATATACATTATCCTTTATTATTTCCAAAAGTTTCTGTTGCATCACTTGCCTAGCTTTCTAAAATCATTAAAACAAGTCTATAAAAACTACAATATTCATTTACTTAAATTAACTACACGCAAAAGCGGAATTAAAAAAAATCTCGTAAACTATTAAGTGATAACATAGGTTCCTTTTTTTTTGGCGTCGGGGGGGGGGGAAAAGATACCCTGCCTTCTGGAGGGAAGGCAGGGTATCTTTTGAAGATTTTATATCTGGGATAATATAGGTTCCTAAGAGCAAAAAAAGTTCGATTCAGTAGTTTTTAAGGTTATTCGTAACATACAAACATTAATATAGATGTAACTGTTATAAAATAGTTACTCGCTGAATATTGAAATAAGCAATTACCTCTGAAAATGCAGCTGGGTCGACAATTAAGAAAATACTGTCTTTGATTTCCAAAAGTTCTTTATTCCATGTATTACTCAACAATACTGAATGATGGCTTTCCGAAGCCATTATCAATGCAGGAACTAAATGTGGATCTAACGCCTCTAGAGACGCTAAGTTACTGCGAATTGATAATATCCCTGTAAATAAAAAAATCAGAATATTAAGCAAATCACCTATATTTTTTTTTATATCATGCATCTCCATAGATCTATTGTTCTAGATAGTATAAAAACATCTTTCATCCTATGCAATTTCATTAAGAATTTATATATTTAAAATAACCCATTATGGACACCTGTTTTAGGTGAGTCAGTGGCACTGGTCTAGTAATGTCAACTGGGAAATAATTCCCTAATATTTGATTACTAGCTGATGCTAGCGACTTCGTCCGCGTGAAATTTAAAAAAAGGTAAAAAAAAGCAGCCTAGTGGTTACTTAACCAGTGACCATTGAAAAGCTAAGTAGCTAAGAATTTGCGCAAGGCCAAGTTGTTTTTCAAGTAATAAAACATTAATATAAAACAACATACTTTTCTCATCCGCAGAACATGACACTGCAAAAGATCCAATCTGCAGTAACCTTTCATTGTGCAAATCAAACTCCTTTACAAAATCACACATCTTCGTTTCGTCATTTTCTGACAAACAGTCACATATCCCTTTAGCTTTATAATGGGTTTTCAATACATCTACAGGTGATATACTATAGCTAAAACAATGAACCAATAGAGCTAGGACACCTCTACTTGTATTTGTCTCTAGCGCATAGAGTACATCTTTTAAAACATCTATCAACACATTCACATTTGATGGTTTGATCGGAAGATTTAGTGATATCTCTGAATTGTTAAATGCTGTATCTATATCACCCTCGATTATATCACATAAGAGTGTTTTCGTTTCCCGTAGTACCTGAAAATAACAAAAAACAAAATATTATCTAAGAGGTAAATCTAATGTACAATCAGGGAATCTGACAGTGTTCCACCTTAAATTCAGGTCATTTAAACATTTTGTACACATCAAGACAACATGGAATAATAATCTTAACCCTTATATACATAAATCTATAATGTGAGATTTTGATTTTAGAGTGTTGGTAACATAATATTTTTTGCTACAAAACCTGCATTTATTTAGGGTTAATGAAGCAGCTTTTAAATGTCTATAGAAAAATAGTCAGTCAATGGTTTGCAACTGTTTTATATTATCCCATAGTTTACACATCTCATGGCTACTTGAGTATTTGTATGGAGAAGTGGAGTTTATCTTGTTGTAAGGCAAGAGGGTTTTTTTTCTAAAAGTGGAACACCATGGGTTTCATAACAGTATATAACAATTGTATAAGTAATACATTTAAAAATAAATATACCACTTGGCATCTTGCTTTTATAGCATGTTGATCTGCAGGCAGACAATATCGGCAGAGCGTCATAGCTGACAATAATAACTCATCTATTGAATTGTGTAAACTTTTCAAACATCCAACCATCTGAAAATAGAAAACATAAAATTGTGTCTATAAGTATCATAGACTTAGTTATTTAACTAGTTTATTATTCAATTAGAATTAAAATACTCCTATAAATATGTGTAGTAACATTATAAGTGAGTGACTTAGATATTGCACCATTTATTTAGAGTCCGCTGTTAACATTCATACAAATATCTCTATCTCAATTTCCTAAAGGAAAATGACAAGGACAATAATATAAGTAATAAAATTGTATGAAACTTACATCACTCTTCCATTGGTCATATTGTTTAGAATCTGGATCACTGAGTGATATCAAATCAGTTAGCGATTTTAAATCATCAAAAGTTTGATCAATCCAGTTAACAAAATATAAAGGTGGGTCGAAAATGGATTCATCAAAGGCACTGTCATGTCTATCATTGTTTGTTATCGCTTCTAACATATCCTCAATAGCTAACAACCTACTGCAGCACCATGAAAGCCTTTCTAAAGTACATCTTCGACTCTCCTGGAAATTAGATAAAACACACTTAGCAAGTATCAATGCCATAGTTTGTATAAATTAAACTTTCATAGTGATAACAATGAAATTTTTAAGGATAGGATAGAAAATTATACATTTTTATTCAAAAATGACAGAAAAATGTCCTATGTTGTATTTCTCCTCTCTCTATCCCAAGGTTTAAATTACTAATACCAACTTAATTTACGTACCAACAATAATATTTCCTCATTATTTTCTAATTTCAAAATATCTATAAATGAGACGTAACACTTGTTAATCTGGCTGACACAAAGTGCGAACACATTATGTATGTTAGTAACATTTTCTCGAAGTTCATCGTTTTTTAAGTAATTTGCTATTTTACTTCCAAGTTTTTGTAAAAATGGATAAAGTTTTGATAAGAATGAATCCTGTAACAATTGATTAAATTAAGTCACATTTAATTTACACATTGCTCTAAGAAACAAGATCAAACACTAGCCCTTACCACTAATAATTTTGTAGCAGACTCAACTTCTTTGGGCAAATCTTGATTGATGTTCAATATTTGAATATCCATCTTTTGAAACGTCTATTGTATCTATAATTTTAAATTGAACTCAAAATAGTTAATAAATTGTTACTAAAATTGTCAATTTAAGCATAAGATAAGCAATAATTAGTAATGAGAATTATGTTCTACTTTCCATGGATTCTTGCTAGACAACTCTTGTTACCTTTGAATAAAAATCTAGAATTGCAGAATTTAAAGTAAACAGTCAGTTACAAAATACCAAACAGTTCGATTTGAATTTAAACTTGACATTGACATAAAACATGACATTGATATTGGCACTTGACATTTGGTAATTTGGTAGTAATATATTTAAAATATTGAAAGCAGAGATATATAACACAGTTTATTTAATTTTATACTTCACGACAGATATTTATGACATATTACATTTTTTCTTAATTAATTTTTTCACGTCACTTTACAAGTGTCAATGTATATGTTTTTTCTTCTTTTTTCATAAAAGAGTTTTCATGTCAACTTCAACAGGTAGATCGTCCACTTTACTTTATTTTTGTCTCAAAAATATTATTTTACGTTGAGATATGAAAAAATAAAGGTATTCAATTTATTTCATGAGAGTAAAATGGACTTTAATTAAATTTAAATAAACAAGAATTAATAAATCAAACAAAAAAGATTTCTAATCTGTCCTGTTCTGTCATCTTCAGACACAGTCAATCATTTTCAATCTCGGATTTATTACTGTTGATGAAGATTGCACTAATTTATTTAAGGCTTAACTTTGAAAGTACATTAAAATGAGTGAATTAGTTTGGGGTATTAAAAACGGCGACATAGATCAAGTAAAAGATATCGTTGAAAAAAATGTAAGACCGCTCCTTTTGTTGTATGTTTTCATGTAATAAATCGATTTGGTGCAATCATATTTATAACAACGTTTTTTGTTCATAATCTAATGTACATTATGAACAGCAGTAATTTATAATAACAGGATATGGTTTAAGTTGTATTTTTCTTTAAGAAAATCGAATCGTATTTATGCTGTTTTTGTAGACAAGTAATGGTTTTCTTTTAGAAAATTGATGTCAATGCACTGATTGATGGCCGAGTACCTCTTCATTACGCTGCTGATTATGGTCAAACAGCTGTTTTAAACTATTTGCTAGACAAAGGAGCTGATCCTAATGTAAGTATGGCGATAGAAATCTCTTTATGTTCTTATTGAGAACAAGAGAGATTTTGATGAATCATTCTGGTTATTTCTTGTTGTTAGTTTTTTATACTGTTGAGTATTTTATTAAGTTTAATTTTATATGCATTCAGAACCTAATTAAGTTGTTTAAACATTGTTATCTTTGTCTTACATAGATAAAAAATAAGAGTTGTTTTTTTTTGCTATTTAATTTGTATTGCAATTTTGAATATTACAGATGGTTGATAAACATGGAATATCAGTCATTTTAGCAGCTATCTGGGAGGGGCATACTGATTGTGTGAAAACATTATTAAAACATGTAAGAAAGACATTTTTATTACAATAAAAAACATTATGTTATAGAATACTAATTAAAATAAATTTGCAGGGTGCTTCGAAGAATGGAAAAACACCAGATGGTACACCATACTTAGATGCAGCAGAAAAAGATGAAATAAAAGAGCTCCTAACATAGATAAAAGTAAAATTTCAAAATCATAACATATTCTCATAAAACGCTCACATTCTTATTTTTTTAAGCTAAGGTGAAATTGTATTACGGTTATATAAAAAACTAACCATCATATTTTTACATGCATTTATTTATATTGCAATTATTTTTATATGCTGAACATATGAAATTTAGAAGACATGTATTGACTGCGTCCACTAGTAGTTTTAATTTGTTTTACTAATTCCTGTGCGGTAGGACACCTCAAACTGTACAGAGATGCACTAAATATATGTAAGAAAAACTAAAATTATTTATCATTTGCAATGGCACTTACTTTCCAAGGGCCTATACATTTAGCAAATAAATTTATTTTATAAGGTGTGTTAACGCATGAAGGCAAGAAATAAAATGTAACATTGCCAAAATAAAAGGAATAAATTAATAAATTATTTTTTTTATTTTACAAACAATATAAACACAAACTAAAGTTATATACAATTTTGTATTTTATAATAAACAAAACAATGAGAGCATCACAAGTTGCTTAATACTATACAAGTTTCCAAGTGACTTAATGAGGATTCCCCCTAACAACACATTTTTACTAAAAACATTAATCAACATCCAATGAAGACTTACATTTATAAGAAATTTCATAAAGCCAGCTACACCCCTTAAGTTGAAACCGCACAGGTGCTACATGGTCAGACTGTTTTGTTATAATGAAAACAAAATCAAGAAATGCACAGTCTAACTAATAATGCCATTAGCATACATTTTAACTGAACATTTGGATTTTTCAGTTAAAACTTAAGAAACATGTTCATTGGATAGATAGGTTTTTGTTTTTTTTAAACTGTAGTAACTACTACAGTAAAAACCCATGACAAAAATTATAATTAAAGTTCTCCATCGCCAGTTGTATATTTTTTATATTTGTTGTTCTTTGTAGGAGGACAATAGCATGCATTCTTTTGGGCATCCAAATATGATTTACAGCCAAGAGTTAGAGTGCCAGTAAATAATAGTTTTGCTGCACCTTTACAACCTGTAATAAAAATGTTAAAGCATAAAAATCATAATTTTCATACAACCTCTAAGAAATCATAATAATTTTTGTGTAAGCCTTATAAAAATACTAATTTAATTTAAAAACAAATATAGAGAAAATAATATTAGTACTATATTATAAAAGTCTTTAAAACATAAATTTCATTGATAATGTTATTTATCATAATTGAAAGCAAACCTATTAATATTTTTCAAACAATAAACTATCATATGAAGGTGCATGAACATGCTTTATAATTGATAGAGTTTAATAATAACAAATAGTTATAATAAAAAATTAAAAAAATAATTTTGTTAATGCTATCCATAGAGTAAACATAACTACAAGCATTATTTTTGTTTTACACTCCTGTAATAATCTTCTAAAAGTTCTTAATAAATGAATCAAATACACTAGCTCATGTTGCATTAACATGTAGTACAGATTATATTAAGATCATAAATTTGTGCATGTCTCCGAGTTCCAAATTGAAGAAAAATATGTATTTTAATTATTGTTAGGATTTTACCTTTTGTTATAGCGTCTCCTCCAATGTTTACAGTTTTGTATGTTTCACAATAATTATACAAACACCTCTTGAATTCTAAATCGCATATTTCTTTACCACTGTTACAAGTGTCGTAACAGATGTCATGAGCGTCACAACATTTTGTCATCTCTTCAATTGGTAAATATTCTGAAGATATATCAAATCCTAAAGAACCACATCCATCGGATTTAGGTATGTGGTTTTTGTTGCGAACTGGCTTCTGTCCTGTAAGAATGACGTTAATCGAATAAAAAATAATGTAGACCAATAAATATAGACACTTATTGTAAGTAAAAAATACTATAAAACTTGAGTTTTAGTTACCACCAGGACAAGTAAAAATACAATCCTCCTCCACCGCCGCATCGAATACATCATGCAAAGAACGAAATTTATCAGCCACTGTTATTACATTACGAAACATGTCCCCAAACACTGATTCGGCTGATAAAACTGCATCTTTTAGATTTCGTAATATATTCGATCCCACACCCGTGTAAGCGTAGGCAACGAAAGTTAAAACATATATCAAAATCTTTCTATAAGGGATATCCATTGCTCGATATTGTTGTTGAAATCGCTTACATTTCCTAAAATACTATAGCGTAATGTTCTACTTTCTAACTCTGGTTACTTCAACATATAACAATAACAAATCTTTAACTGAAATCTGACGTGTCCTTAAAGAAAAGAAAATTACGTTTACTTCTATAGACATTTTAAACCAAAAATAAACTTTACTGAAATAAAAATGACGTTTTAAAATGACATTGACGTTTAAGTCTGAAATCTTTGAAAGTTTTTATCTTTTGATACATTCCAGTTCAAAGTTTAAAATGTTAGACTTTAAGTTACAATAGAAGATTCTCGCTTTATGTGTAAATTAATACGAAAACTCTTGTAATTAAACAAATTATCAACTTTTAATCAATTGGTGAAAAAAAAATTAAACTGTCTATGGCTCTGATCAATTTTTGGACGAAGAATCGTAATATCCGGTAGCCATGTTGCTTTAAAAAGTTGTCCTTTTCCGTTTTGTGTCGTGAAAATGACGGGTTTTAGTAATAAGGTGAGATTAAAAATATAGATATATTGTACATAATCCGCTAAGTTTAGTCGATATATACACAAATTAATTGAAATATAAGTGAAATTGTGTTAGCGTCAGTGTAAAATGTGTGTAGATTATTGGCAAAATCACACTTCCACTCTGCCTTTACACGTGCTTACCTTCAAGTCAGTTGTTAGCGTTATAAGAATAAATAAAGATTGTTTTAGCATTACAGAAGAGAATTCCAGATTAGCTGTACTTCTTTCTGACATGTATAAAGTTGTTCTATAAATCTGGTTCTCGGTATAGTTTGAGGTTATACTAAATTTCCGGCACGATCAGTGGGTAACCATAACACTTTGTATTTTTCAGGCCATTATCATCGATGGCCGTGGCCATCTGCTTGGCCGCTTGTCCGCAGTCATTGCTAAAGTTCTATTGGAAGGAAACAAAGTCGTTGTTGTTCGATGCGAACAATTAAACATTTCTGGCAACTTCTTCAGGTTAGTATCATGCTCTTTTTAACAACATCTTCACCATTACTTATAATGATGCTACTATTTCGGGTAATTTGCGACTGAATGTCTAGATGTTGCTATATTATGTTCTGATTTACTTTATTTTTTTTAATGTTCTATACATGTGATTGAATTGGTTTTGACTATGGACAAATTTTTCAGAAACAAGTTGAAGTTCATGTCATTCCTGCGTAAACGTTGCAACGTGAACCCCGCCCGCGGACCTTTCCACTTCAGAGCCCCATCAAAAATCCTATGGAAAACTGTTAGGGGTAAGAATGAACAGTCCAAGATTTATTTTATAACAAATACATTATGTTAGTAAAACAATATTTTAATAAATGCTTAGCAATTTATGAGTAAAAGAAAACAAGATGTTATAAATGTTCTCTAATTGTATATAATTTTAAGATTGTACTAATTTGCTCCAGTAAAAATTTGTACATATCTAAAGTTGGTACTATTTTAATCCAAAATACTTTGTGTTATGTACCACCAATTAAAAAATATAACACTTATTTTTCAAATGTTTGTTAGTATTAGATGCATTTACAGCTTTCTGATGATTATTAACAATTTTTACCTACATTATTTGATGTTTATGATAAAACCAAATGTTATGAAGATAATCATCACATTAACACAAAAAATCATTTTAAAATGAACTGCATTCATCCCTGGATAAATTTACAGGTATGATCCCGCATAAGACGGAGCGTGGGAAGGATGCTCTCCGGAGGCTGAGGGCGTACGACGGCTGCCCGCCGCCATACGACAACCGCCGCCGCGTTGTCGTTCCCGCCGCACTCAGGGTCTTCTGTCTAAAGCCTGGCCGCAAGGTAAATATTTTTTGATAATAATTATTTCAACTGTTACTTTCTAGAATCTGTTGAATTAGTGGGCTTTCTCACATCAGTGGAAGAAAGTTACATCTATACTATTATAAAAAGTAAAAATTCCTATTTTTGTTGGTATTGAAATAACTCTAAAACTACTGGGCCGATTTCAAAAATCTTTCTATATTTTGTATATTTATGTAGGCTATACTTTTATTATATCAATACAATCAATAAGCATGGTTAGTTAAAATTAAACAATGCGCAAGATTATCAAATATTAAATGTGAAATCTAACCTAATATTATAAATGCGAAAGTTTAGATGGATAGATGTTCGTTAGAGTTTGTAGCCTAAACGGCTGAACGGATCCAGATGAAATTTGGCATAAATGTAGAACAGAGTATGGAAGAACACATAGGCTTCTTTCTTTTTTTTTTTTTTAATAGCACGCGGACGGAGTTACGAGCGAAAGCTAGTGTTAAAATAAATCCAAACAACAAATGGCATTGTTAAGTCTGTATTCTTAGACATGTAATAATTTCCATTGAATTTGACTATAGAAGCATTTTCTGTCTAGATAGCAGAAATAAACACTAAAATGTATATTTATGGCCAGTCCCCCCAAATTGTAAATTGTCTGATAACAATCCAACATGTTAAATATGTAATAGAAATATGGGATTCTATTCCCTTACCTGACAGTCAGTTTTAAGCTATCTGACCCTCTAGCAGCCAGTGGTGGGACAGGCCCTAAATGTTTATTCAAGTGGGGTTGTAACGGAAGTTGCTTGTAGTTAACAAAAGCGTAGGTGGTAGGCCTTTGTTTTATATCAAAATCTTAGATGTATATTAAAAATAATGTTAAAATTTAAATATCTAGAAAATGTATGATGTTATAACAATGGGTAATTTGCGACTGAAAGTGAACATGTTGCTACTTTATGTTTCTGATATTTGTTATTCACAGTTATTTATCTAACTCTATAGAAAACATAATTAACTTATATATTATTTCAGTACTGTCACGTTGGCCGTCTGTCGCACGAAGTCGGCTGGAAGTACCGTGACGTTGTTCGCAAACTGGAAGACAAGAGAAAGTTCAAAGCTGTCCACAAAGTCGCTTTCGAAAGGAGACTTAAGGTTAGTAATGTAGTTTTTATTTCATATAATGTCCATTATGAATTGTTACAAATTTTGGATAAATAGATAAATGTTTGTGCTTTCTATTTGCAAAAATTGCTGACCAGATTTCGATGAAATTTGAAAAAGATGTAGAACAAAACTGAAATGGACGAGTATAAATCTATCAATAATGATGAATATTACAACTTACCTACATTATTTGAATGCAATGAAAAACATTTTATTCTGAAACCACATTAATAATAATAATTTATTTTAAAGTATGAAGTGTACATAAGTAATAATATCGTTTTCTGTTGCAGAGGATCACGAAGGAGGCCGGGGAGAAGGTGGCGAAGGCGACGGCGCCGTTCACTTCTATCATCCAATCTTACGGATACAATTAACAATAAGAAATTTAAATAAACTTTTGGACATCCAAACCGATGTTTATTTTAGTCAAATTTCCTCAAACTTACTAATATTTGAAGTATAAGCGAAAGTTTAGATGGATGGTTTGATGTTTGAGTTAGTAGCCTAAGTGGCTGAACGGATTTCTATGAAATTTGACATACATGGAGAAGTCAGGAAGAAGAACACAGGCTACCTACTGTTGTTTTTCTTTTAATTCCACGCGGACCAAAGCTCGTGTTAAAATAAAACACTATCAAAGATTTCATTTATGCATTTATTTCAATCTTAATATAAGGCCTTCTACACACCTTCAGCTTAAAACGGAAAACTTCGTATGCTGGTATAAGAGTTAAAACTATACATTGCAGTGTTGCCACACGCAGATATTTAAGAACTCCATAGACTAGGCATAATGAATAAGTTTTTTTTTCCACCGGTACTTTCTCTGAAGATGATACATTATGCCTAGTCTATATATTTCTTAAATTTCTTTGCTGATAAATTAGCAAGTCATTTTGTTTGCAAATTCACCAAAATTCTATTACAAAAGGCAGCATTTTATTAATGCGATTAGAATATATGAGGGTTAAATCAAACTCAATATAAATGATAAGATTTATTAAAGATTAAATATTTTCATTGGCTTACAATGTTTTGTAGTACAATTACTATTCCATAGCAGAATAACTACTTTCTAGAAACATCCATATTACGACTTACTGCTGGAACAAATTATTAAACCACTATTAAAAACTGATCAGTGGCAGTTATAAATTTTTTCAATGTTATTTTTTTAAACATTTCGGAAATGGAACTAAAGTTCCGCGTTTTGGTGGTTGGACATTATTTGTCATATATATCTTGATTATTACTACAGATTTTTATTTTAAATTGAAGCTGCAGTTGTACCACAATGAAGTGTAAATCTTATGTAGAATGTATTTAAACTTATGTACTTAAATTAAAAGAAAAATATCAAAAACATTACACTTAAAATTAATAAGAACTTAGAAATAATTTAAATTTATAGATCTATTGTTGAATCCTTTTTCTTATGTTGTCCCTCGTACCACGCCTTGGAGATCATGCGTTTCATTTCATCATCACCAGTTTCATACCTGTAATAACAAACATAATTTATGGCACACACAAAAAGTAAATAATCTCTTATTGTAGCTTTTTGTTCAAATAAACCTGAATTAGGGTAGGGTCCGAGCCCCTCACAATACATATAGACATATAGTAAACTGGTGATGATTCAAATAACATTTTTTAAGGAACAATTTGGAACATAGCTCTATAATAACATTTAAACTTGGCAATGGATGGTGGGAAATATTTAAAATAAATAGAGAACACCAACAACCTTTGATATAAATTTCTTTGAAGTTTGAAGTATTTTTAATACCATTAGGGGTATTCAAATAAATTAAAACCAACAAGGAGTCCCACATAAAACAAACATTAATTTAACACCCAACTTCACTTTTATTCATGCATCATTACAATAAAAAGCAAACAAATGAATACTTACATGTTCTTCATGAGACTCATAATAGACTCCTGGGGGTCTTTCTTTTCTAGGTCATCATTCTTGAATCGGTTGGTTTTCTGATCTTCAAATTTCCTTTCAATCTCTGTCATGTGAGACCATTTGCTTGATGGATTCTGTTTTGCCAAGAAAATAACCACCATGTCTGGAATTGCAAAAAAATAATAAGTAAACAAATAAGGAATTCTATTTTTGTATTAAAATCATGTTCTTGATTTCAATATCTACTAAAACCCACTGATATCTAGAGCTCTGTTTGCTTATAGCTTGAATAATTAATTTATTGGGGTAGAGTAGTTATTTAATTCCAATTAGGTATATGTCCCCTTACCAAAGAGAAGATTTAACAAAAAAATTAACTAAACATTGAGAGTAGGGAAATTTGAGACTTGTTCAGTAGTGACAAACAAACACATTGGATGTTCTAAATATCATCAAGGTAGGGGATCTACCTTATCCTACTCCCTTAGGATATGCACAACAGGATTTTATCCACCAAATATTCTATCATCCATCATCTCAGTCATCACTCCCTACTTGATCATGCCACCTATCATGTAATCCATCCATCTCTTTCTAGGTCTACCTCTACCGGTGTACCTTCACACTCATAGTTCTCCTTGTAACATGCGATTCATCCCTCCTCAACATGCCCATACCATGCTAACCTTTTACTCCAAAATTTCTCTACCACTGGGACTACTTTCAAACTTCTGCTAATATACATATTTTGTATCTGATACATTTGGTTGTTCTTAATATGATTTTGATAAATGAATTAAATATATTTTAAGAGTAAAATAAATTCTTACCAGTCTTTTGCTTCCAATGACTCTCAACAACATTGATAGATTCAAGCAACTTGTTTATGACCAGAGTATAATCCTTGTTCTCCAAATTTTCAACTATAAGTTCCATTGATTTTTCCGTCAATTTACAGTAGACTTGCTCCTTTGGCAGGTTGTGTACATTTTTAAGAGTCACAAATACTTTAATGTATTTATCCGATTGATCCCAACCTTGTATAAAAATACAATAAACTTTAGGCATAAAAATTTGACAATGTGATCTGTAAGTGCTGAGTTCTATTATTTTTGTAATATTAACATTGTATCTGATATTTTAAATATTATCCTTCCTTTCAGAGGTATAATAGAGCATAATATATGAACAAAAGCACATAATATTTACCTTTTAAAATTTAATTACAATTTTTATATATATAGGCAAATAAACGTGTTACATTTCGGTTTCTTAACCTCTTGTGTCGGTTCATGTTTTCATTTTGTAATGTGACATTGTAGTAAGTACTTACCATATCCATTTAGTTTAACCTGGTATCGCTTTTCTTGAACTGCGGATGTTGTGGGTATCGGACTAACGTCCATAGGAGTAGCCGAAGATGTAACACAATCCTTTAAGCTGATCCATTCAGTTTCCAATTTCCTTACTTCAACAGACAAGAGATCTTGAACTCTCTTGCGTTTTGCTTGTTTAAGTAATAGATTAAGCTCATCAATATCGCTTTTAAGCTATAAAACAATACAAAGGTTAGACTGTGATCCATAAATAATTGAATAAAAATATTTAGAATAAAACTTACCTCGTTTATCTTAGATTCCGACATTTTGGCTGTAAACATACAGTTTATGATTTCTGTCTATAGGTGTAATATAAGCCGAAACGACTGCAACAGATAAAAAGGACAATCGCAATTCAATCACACAATAAATTCACCAAAACTCACAAAGCGGCGATCAAAGTTATTCATAACATGCGCTTCGGTATGAATTTTATTCAAAGTTCAGACCATCGACAATCGTCGAGCATTTTCTAGAAATTTCAGGAATTACCACAGATAACAAATGTCAAAGAGTATACAACTTTTTATATCGTAATTAATAATTTGCGAATCGATTTTATTTTTCGCCCAATTAAAAATGACAAGTTCGTTTAATTTTTTCTTGTCATGCATTACATTTACATTTTTAATCTAGTACATTTCAGTATAAAATGACTTGGAATTTCGAGGATGTAAAATAAATGAAAAACAAATAAATACAAGGAGTATTTTATTAGAAGATATTCTTATATAATTTTAAGCGCACATAATACACCGAAGCCCTATTTAGGGCTATAAATGATTTCCTTTGGATGTAATGTAAAGTACACTTATAGTAATGTTGCCAACATTTCTTGACGAATTGCAGTTACAACGCGCTTCTATTAAACAGATAACATCTACACATTTTTTTCACTCCGTTTTTTTCTCTTTAATATCTATTTTTAAACATACTATTAATCACGTCTGTTCCACTCGAATAGATAAGCAAAACTTTTTTTCACTCAATAAGCTAAAATACATTTTGATTTACTTCAATAGTTTTAAAAGCATTTCAGTAATTTTAAATTTATCTGAACAATAAAATTTACTCATTACATTTGCATGAACATTGGAAGAAGAGGATTGTATTGTTTTAGATACAACTTAAGCTGAGTATACATATAGTATGTAGATTATGAACAGTTGAGCTGTAGCTCAACAACTAAATAGCTCACGGCTCAACGCGATGTACTATAACATACGAGTTGATTGCAAAAGAAACGCAAATCATAACAAGCAGTACATATTGAGCTGCGAGCTGTTTCACTGATCTGCTCCCTGTGAGCTGATCTGCAGATTATCAAAGTTTAGATACATAACAATTATGTTAATAGAAGTATTGTGACAGTTCAGTTCTTGCGGTTCCTGTTGCGGCGCATGTTGGTCTGGCATTGGGGACAGTACCACTTGCCCTTGGGGGGCGCGGTGATGCCTACGCACGGGTAATGGAACCATTCGTATGGACACTGGAACAAAAACATTCCTTTATATATTCAGTTATTAAAGATAAAAAATTATTGAATTAGATGTGAATTTTCACTTGTATGACCTGTAATTTGAATGTTGGCAATAAAATTGTATTTGTACAAGGATCTTATGAGATTAGATTAGTCACCAGTAAGCAAAAATTGCTCAACTAATTCGAAATTATCATTATTATATGCGTGTGTGAGTGACGTACGTCCTGGTTGTCGCAGGCGACCATGTCCCCGTAGGAGACCTGGTTGCAGATGCAGTAGCGCGGCTCGTTGGGGTCGTACGTCCACTCCTCCTCCATGCCCTCCTCTATCACCACGTTGTTCACCACGTTGTTCATACCACTGCAAACACATTTTTTTAAATATATATTAACTAACCAATAAAAAATAAATTATTTTGACTAAGGTACTAAGGCGATTCAATGGACTACTTTATCTCAGGCTATATTCATTATTGTTATAATGGACAGAGAATGATACCAGTTTTACTTTTAAACTAAAAACGGTAAAATGATTTTACTATTACAATATTTTATAATATACTAGCATTTGCTCACGATTTCGTCCACGTGGTATTAAAAAAAGTGTTTAGCTTATGTGTTCTTCAAAACTATCCTCTACATCTACACCAAATTTCATCGAGATCCGTTCAGCAGTTTAGGCTACAAACTCTAATAAACATACATCTATATTTGCAAATTTATGATATTAGTAAGACAATTATTTATTAATCACAATACACTTACACAACAGTAGGCGACGAGGAGCGACTGGCGGCCGCGGACATAGTCTGCTGCGCGTGCGCAGTGCTCGATGTGGCGCTGTAGGTGCTTTTCCTACAAACACAAATAAATTACATTAAAAACACATTTCTCATAGTATATTAATAAAATAAAACCGACTTCAAGATGAAAAAGTCGGATTTCTTTGGCACTGCTTCTTTACGAAAAACTCAAAAGTAATGGACAGTTTTTAATTTTTAAAGTGAGACCAAATGGCTGCAATCACATCAAATAAAAGAAAGATCACAAATCGCAACGTAATTAATGTCCATACATAAAAAACGACCGAATTGAGAACCTTCACCTTCTTAAAGTCGGTTAAAAAATTAAAAATAATAACATGTATGTAAAAGAATTATGTATTATAGTTACTTTTGTTTGTGTCGTTTATTGGAGTTGGTGTGCGTGTGCGCGGCGGTGTGGTGCAGCGCGCCCGCCTGCCCGTGGCTCGACAACCCGTGACCTGACATCAAGACAATACAATTTAAAATATGTTTTTAGGAAATACACGAGGTGTATAAAATCCGTCCATTATACATTAAGTACAATTTTCCATCCAGACAGGGAAGAGACGAGGAGGAACGACGCAATTGCATCTAAGGATGCTGGCCCGAGTGATGGCTAGCATGTTTAGTGCTTAGCCTGAATGGTGACTAGTCTGAGTGGTGATTAGCTATGAGCTAGCCTGAGTGGTGTATAGCTTCAGTGATGACTAGCCTAAGTGGTTGGCTAGCATGAGCGTTGACTAGCCTGAGTAGTTGCTAGCCAAGTGGTGGCCTTAGTGGTGGTTAATTTATATGGTGGTTAGCCTGAGAAGTAGTGGTGACTACCCTGAGTAGTGACTAGCCTAATTTTTTTTTTCATTTATTTACACAAGAAAATATATAATGTTCACAAATAATGGCTTGTTGTTGGCAAACCTGATTGGTGTCTAGCCCGAGCGGTGGCTAGCCTAAGTGGTGATTAGCCAGGGTGGAAACGATTTGTCCAAAAACAAGAGGCTAACAACTAAAACTTTTATATAAACTGAAATAATATACCATGATCGTGTTGCGTGGCGTGTGCAGCGTGCGCGGCGTGCGCGGCGTGTGCGGCGTGTGCGGCGTGCGCGCTGTGCGCGCTGTGTGCGCTGTGTGCGGCGAGCGCGTGGTGCGCGTGGTGCGCGAGCTCCGCGCCCGCCACCGCCTCGTACGACGCCTTCAGCGACGCCGTGCGCCGGCCGTGGTGCATCTACACAAATATTAAATAACATATACAAATATTGAAATTATAGACAAACAAAGAATATTTAAATTTTCGGCTTAGGGCAGTTACATCGCTTTAATTAGATTTCTATGAATGCCGAAATCTTTTTTTTTCTATTATAAAACACCTATGGACAACGCAATTTTGAAAGGTAGGCAGAGACCACAAACTTCCGTTTGGCGCCCTACTGATATACTCATTCTGATTCTCGGTCAACACATAATTTAAAGTTTTCAAGGTCATATCGAGTTTAGAAAACTGATTAAAATTACGTCAAATAGTATGAAGATAGTAAACTCACTATTTTTTCATTTTAATCTAAATTATAAAACATTTGGATTATTTACAACTAAATAAATATTTTTGTCATTTCACCTTTTCATACTCCTGTACCAGCAAGAAAAAGTTGTCAAAAATGTAGAAATCTATAATTGTTAAAAAATAAATCTTACTAATATTTCATATACCAAAGTTTAGATGGATATTTATTAGAGTTTGTAGCCTTAACGGCTGAACAGATCTCGATGAAATTTGGTAGAAATATAATAATAATGAATAGTTTATATTACCTGTTGTGTGGCGGCGATGGCCTGGCTGGCGGCCACCGCTATAGCGCTGCCGGCGTGGCCCAGACTGTATGTGTCCCGACCCAACACCGCCTGGGTTCAATGTTATTTATTTTAAATTGCTAATTCCCTAAACAATAATTATAACAAACAAAATTTCTCACAAAGATCTGACCTAACAAATTCTATTTTTTTTTTACTTAAATCTGTACAAATTGTTTGTACTACTGTTAGCTTTTTTTTTAGTTACATGACATTGTTTAAATTAGTCAATGTAAATAATCTGATCCCAATTATACAAATGTAAATATCTAAATATAACCTTTTTTCTTATATAACAATCTATATTAATATTAAGAAGAAAGATTTGTATTTTTGTATGCATTTAAAAAACTAAAAACTATTGGGCAGATTCAAATATTCTTTAACTAAAGAGCTATGTTATAACTGAGTAACATAGGGTATAAATTAAAATTTACATTTTACGCGGGCGAAGTCGCGAGCATTTTCTTGTATTTTAAATACAATATAATCTTTTCTTCGGGTTCTTAAATCTTATGGTTTGTGAAAACTGTACATTCTCACTGGGTAGTTTACAATTTCCCGTGCGGCTTCATCCGCATGAAATTGTGAACATTTTATTTGATTTTTTACATTTGTCAAATTCTTAAAAGCAAATGTCAATATGACATGACAAACTTTACCAATCATTTTTTCTTGATGTTGGCAGCAACTTATGGTCTCTTTCCTACATTTGGGTTTTTATCCAATATATTTACACCCTAAGTTTAATGGCGTGAAAATATATAGCCTAAAGCGTGACGTAAGTGTAGGGCTTTTCATTAAAAAAAGAATTTTTCAAAAATATGCTGTGATTGCTGACATCTTAGGCAACAAAGAAGTGTGTGTTTACACGTTATTACAATAGTATAGATAATGATTGGATATAGAAAATATGAATATAATTGCTAACCTGTATGGCAGTGTCAGTTCTGGACATGTTGCCGTTGGCTGCGTGCGCGCGCGCCTCCCTCGTACCCCAACTGTCGCGTCGCTTCTCCGCTCGGATTCTATATCTACAAGGGGCAAATATGCATATTTAACTACATGCCAAGGAAGGGGATGCAATCCCCCTCCCTATCCCCGAGAATCCCATAAAATAAAACAGATATAAATATATTGAACAAGCCGCTTAGCCTAAACCTTGTTTATGAGTAACTAAGCTCGAGGGCTCCCTCAGGAGCCTCGGCCCGAGCTTTTACTTCGTCATTATTACCGGATTGGGACAATGCTCAAATGTGTATTTAATTTCAAGTCAAGTTGACATATAGATATAGTTTGATAATCAAATGTAACACAAGTGTAAATATATTTTTTACACATTAGGAATGAAATAATAAATAGAATACAATTTTCCCACAGAGGGCATGGCAATTCCCCCGGCTAATGCAAGCTAGATTGAACTTTTTCTCGAAGTAACAGATCACATTAACACCTTTATTTAATGAAAAAAGAAACAAATATGATGATATTCAAAAAGAAAAGTAACAATTACTGTAACAAATAGACTATTTGTGTGATTTAAACATAATAAAATGTACAAACCTATTTTCTTTATAATGATTATTACTAGATGAGCCGGAATGATTAGTGTTTGTATCAAGGTCTAGGGATCTCTTTTCCAATAGCTCTGTGATACCTTTGTTGTCCGCTTCCAATTCACATTTAAACTTATGCAGTTCTGTATCTGTAATTAACAATAATAATTGTTACATAAATATTAATTATGGCCAACAAGTCATGTTGTATAAATCACACTATGGGTTTTGGGAAACAATGATACAGGTTCTCTAAGGGAGAACACCTTCAGATAATTTTGTTCTATTTGATTTAGTTTTAATTTCTTATTCCAGTTTTTGAATATCTACTAACTATCAATTACATATAACATAGGAATTTTGTTGAACAACACAATAATTCATGATTTTTGAACCAACATACAATTTCCCATTTTAATTTTTGTCTGTTGAATTTTATACTAAAAAAAACTCTTTAATGTCTTTTAATAAATTTCATGCCATTACAATTTTTGTAAGTAACACACCAAGTTAGTTAGCACTGAATGTGTTAATGTGTCTACCTCAAACATTTCCTCACTGAAAGGCTGCAGCCTAACTTATGTTAAGAGTAACAAGGTCAGAGACAAACAGTTTTAATAACAGTAAAAAAAAAATACAAACCCAGCCTGCGTAAGTATCTGTCAACTAGATCATACATCTGACTGGCCAGTGTAACTTTTTCTTCGGCTTCCTCTATTGTCTTATTATAACCCTTCTTAATATCAGCAAACTCGGTGTTAGCCTGGTCGGTATTTATTTCACCACGGCGACATCCGCCAAATAAAGTTCTAACCCGTTTCTCCAATGTATCCATGTTATCTAAAGAGGTTTAATACAATTTAAAATTGCAATTATCTTATTTAAATTAGATTTTAAAGAATTTAGTGGAAATATCTTTAAGTAAAATGTCTATAAATGTTTTGTTTTAGGTTTATAGAAACCTTTAAAGATATTATAAAGAGTAAATAAAGAAATCAAAATGATTTGCAATTTGTAAAGTAAATGTAGTTTGTCATTTTAATTTTGTATCTTGAAAATATTGTGAACTTTATTGTATTACTAACTTTGCACAGATAAATCCATTTCCCTCATTTCAGTAAATCTGTCTCGAAGCTCTTGAGGAAGATGCTCAATCACTGAAAGATACCAAAATAGTAAACAACACTGTAAATAAAAACTAAGTATTTGATATTTTCGAAATATTTTTCAAATATTCGCGCCATCCATTAATATTGATCCATGTTCAATAATGCCAACCGTGAGTACATATATGGCGTCATTGCTGGTAGAACAAAGAACTCACTTTCCAGATAATCCTCGAGATAGAGCATTTTGGTGAGTATTATCACAATGTTTATATATCAATTACTTTAAAAGAAGTAAAGGCTAATAAAATTTACAACGAATTAGTAAATACGGAATAAATGCACACGTTGACGTGATACTTTCCGTCACGTCACCACTTTGTTTAAAGGTTAGTGATGTACAAAGTGTAAGTAATATATTTTATCGAATTGGCACTTTTCTTTAGGTATGGTAGGAAAGATAAAAAATTTAGTAATTAATATAAAAAATAAGCTAAACCTGTACCAAACAGACTCAACTAAATAACGAATGGACAAAAGTTGTACAGCAAATTTTAAAGTTCTACGTTTTTTAGAATTCTACATTCTTTGACTGACAAGAGGTTTGACTATTAAATAGATTTAGACGTGTTCTCATTGCTATATTAGTTGTAAAACTAGGTTATTTACAAATATTCATATTTAATCAATCCTTTGTGCGGTTTGTGATTGTGATGAATTTTCATTTCGATATTACCAGAACATCACTAATAGAAATGTCTACCAACCTTGCAAAACCTTGGTGGTTTCGTAAAAATGCGTTCGTATTTCACACAAGCAGATAAATTATTTACCTATTACAGATTACATCATGATTCGCAGACCATTAACGGAAATAACGTTAAAATTAGATGATTTACAAGAATACGAAGCAATGCGTCGAGATCAAGCAAATAATTCTTCAAGGAATGAAATTTCTGAGACACCCAGACCTCTCGGTAACGGAGCTAAAACAACCGAAGAAGTGCACAATCGAATTGGTTATGTTCCTAAAAAGAAATCAAGCGGGTCAAGTACTTCATAGGTTTTGTTTAAAAGTCATTTATATTTTTTTATTTATTCAAGCTCTTAAGTTACAATTATTAAACCAATGTAATTAATAAAGTAATTGATTTTTATTTACCTACCAATTACTTCTCCTTTCGGACCTTAATGTGTCTGAGGTTCAAAAAAACTACTCTTAGTTAAATTTTCGCAAGCGAACGTTTAATTGCAATGTAGTACCAATAAATATTGATGACAGGGAAGGAGTAAATGGATTTACTACTTTTAAAATAAACCTCAGTAGTATTTAACTTTTATTAATTCAAAAACGTGAATAGTTAAAAAGATTACAAAGTGTTCGACATTATCATAAACATTTAAATAAGTAATAAATGCACAAATATTGCTTTTTTAATATTAAAAGGTAACAAGTGTTAATGCTTTAATTTATTGGGTTTTGGACTTGTTACGTAATCTGGATACTTCAAATCATTTTCTTGTTTCTTCATATTTCGCTTACGCCAAATAATGCAAAAAATTCTGGAACAAAGGTAATTAATGTTAATGATTTTATTCGTTAGATAATTTATAATGTTCTAAGTCCATTATGCTATTGCTAAGTAAAAATGCTTATTGACTGTATAAGAAAAATTATGATATCATTTACCTCAAAGTAAGAAAATATAAAATCTCGGCTACGCTGAGTATCGAGAAACCCATAAACAATCCTAAAAGACCTCCGCAGTTCGCCAAAAAGTCCGTTTGACCATATAGTTCCGATCGTCTAGAAGTGATAAACTGAGCTTCTTTGAAGAAAATCATAACACGAGCAAATTTTTGACTGAAAATAAATTGTTGAATAAATTATTTTAAATAAATTAAACTATGCACAAAATAGCCTATTACTAGTCATTTATATCGTGCAAAAATAAATAAAGAAAAGAACTTACTCAAGAATGTCATCTCCGATAGTAACATTAAAAGCGGTGTACAATGCCTTCCAATCGTAATCAGCTTGTGAAGTCTCAGCTTCATATTCTATGGAGGTGCAGGCTGGCAGGCATTTGCAGCGAGATGCGACCTCTCTCGCCACCCCTAGCGTGTCATTCTCACTCGATTCTTCCTCTAACCTGGACTCTATGGCTACTGTAACTAGCTCCACTAAACAAAAGAAGGTAAACTAATTGACACAAAGAAGGTTGGAGTTTGTAAAAGGACGGAAAAGTCGGAAACGTGCAGGTCATGACTCAAAATAACCTTTTTTAAAACTAGCGTACCTAGATGTGGTACTAAAAATCTAAAACACAATAAAGTTTTAGTATTTGTCGGATAATAATCTAGTCATTAAATAAGTGGAGAACTATTACCGAATTGACTTACTTTGAGATTTTTTTATGCAAGCAACACTACCGGCATTACAAACGGTCATGCCGGGGCCGTCTGAAATAAATTCAAAAATTAGGTTAGACGAATGCTAATAGTTGCACAATGCACAATATATTAAAGTCTGTATTCAACTCACGCGGCATGCCGAAATGAACGCAGCCACAACGCGCATACGTGAAATTGGTCAAACATTCCACTTCACAATTGGCCTGAGTGTACACCTTGTAGTAACGAAGGTAGCGTTCGCTCGGGAAGTAGCATTGTCGTCTAAAAAGGGTATTCAATTAAACAATAAAAATATACAAAGACTTTGTGGATATTCCAATGTATAAACCTGGGTTTATTTGATCATATTGCCCATAGAAAAGATTTCTATGTCAAAAAGCAAAATATTGCGATAAAGAACACTGATACCTAAAACAAAACCTTCAAAGAGTCAATAAATGAGCATATCCAATAAATCAGAGCTAATATTCTGATAATCAAAGGCATACATGTGATTTATTTCTGCAGTTAACTATTTACTGTTAGAAACGTTCATTGCATCATTGACCAAATTTACAAATGATCGGTAACATTTTCGTTTAGTAACAATGTTAACACTTGCACTGAGGGAAGATATGGCTTGAGTCCGTCAGAGGTGGTCATCATCTTGGGCCGGACGGCGACCACCACCTCCTGCGACAGCGGTGACCGGAAGTATTGCTGTGACAGCCGTGGTAACTCCGCCGGGTTGTGGAGAAGAATCTAAAATATAACTAACTGTTGCACTCAGTTGTTTAATGATTACTGTGAGAACCTTAGTGGTGGTGCTTACATTTTGTATAGCAGTCACTGCCGCCAGTGTAAATAGAACTCGCTACTCTGTATAAATAGAGGTGACGCGCGACCAATGGCTAAGTGGAAATGGATCTTAATGGACTCACTAGTAATAAACGTACCTTGAAGCCTTGCACAGGTCCTTTGCAAAGGTAATCCAGATCGATTTCTTTGGTTTGCAATAAAAATGTTAAACCAGCTTTCGCACCATAACCCTGGAATTACATGATTATTATAAATTTTTTCTACGAAGGAAGTAATCTATATAAGAAAATAATTACCGAGCCTCTGTGCGGGTAGGTCTCTAGTGGTGCGGATGGTGGATATCCCTCTTCCAAAGACCATCTTTGAATGTTATCAGATGTAGAATTAACTATGGTACTTTCCAAGTATTGGTACTCTTTGTGTAAACTGAAAAGCATATCAAAGTTATTTGAAATGACCTCGACCTACTTCTAAAACTACGAGGAAGCACAACCGTCTATCTTTTTAATGTATGTAACATGGCAACATTTATTATTTTCCTTTGGTCATATAGAAAAACTATTTAGTTCCTCTTTAGGAGTTCGTATTAACTCAGGTAAAAAGTAGACAATACTTCTCCGTCCTAAACAGATCCTCAGCACTCAATGTGTTAAATGTATAACAGACACCATCCTCTGTTAATATCGGTGAGAATAGATTCGTACAACTGTCTTTCGGAGTGTCTTTCCATTTGCAACCGAAGAAAAATTCCGATATATTTGGTGACACCTTTGAAAATAAGAAATAAATTAAATTACATAGTACCATTTACTCGTATTATCGATACTAATATTATAAAGAGGAAAGATTTGGATTTTTGGATTTTTGTATGTATTGAAATAACTTAAAAACTACTAGGCCAATTTTAAAAATTGTTAATTATTAGTGAGTAACATAGGTTATGTTTTTAACTATTTTAAATTCCACGTGGACGGAGTCGCCAGCAACAGCTAGTAATAAATATGTTTTGCCTTTAACAATGTACGTGATGTAATGATTTATCAAATCTTTTATTACCTGTTTCAAATTTTCAACTGTTGCATTCCCGTCAGAGAACTTGCGACCTCTGGCGGGAGCCAAGTGATCGTCACACACCAATGTGATGTCTTCAAACAAATTTCTCCTAAATTATGAAACAATTTATGGTTATGATTACTTAAAGCCTTACCAAGAATATAAAATCCCTGGCCCGAGGGTACTTCAATCGACTTATTTATCGTCACTATCAACGGATAAAATTGGTACCATATTTTTCCTGCAAATGGCGAGTGCTTTTATATTTCTGGTGAGGCTATACATTGGGTATTTTCATTATAATTTATACCTATAATTCCTTATTATTCTTTTCCTCGACTAAATATGCAATTAACAACAGGTTTGTTAGATATTTTTAGTTTATTACAATATGCTAATGCTGATGAATACTTCTCTGTATGTGTTAATTTTTTAGGTGCATACTTTTTTCTTATAAAAATGAAATTGATATAAACAAACATACTCTTCTTCCGTCATTTCCATGTACGTCTCATTGTTTTTATATAGATGGTAGTATTTTGTAAAATTGAATCTTGTTTGTAGTGACTTCGTTTCAAAGCAGACAGTTACGGCGGGGTAAGGTATCTGCAATAATATTTTGAAATTCATACAACTTCAATTTATATCCTCGTGCTGTGAATCATATCCACCTACAAAACATAATTAAGACGTGCGTTTGCATTGAAATAATTAGGGACTATAATGTAATTTAGAAAATCTTTCGTTAATTTAAGACAACAAACTTGAACCCTGACGACAAAAAAAATAGTTGAGACAAGCCGTTTTAAAACATTACAGAGAAGTCTGTTAAAAATATAATAATCATCATCATTAGTAAGCATCATAGGGGATCATTGATCTTCATAATAATCTTTCCCCTCTGCGCTTATCCCATTGGATAATGTGCACACACTTGAGTAACCATACTTATAAATACCTGCCAAACCGGAGTAGAGTTTTCGGCAAAACTGACTATGACGGGACTCTCGTTCCATTTTATCCAAACTTTTCTTATTAGACCGGCACAAAGAATGACGCAGCAAGTAAACATAAATAACCAGAAAAGCCTGAAATTCAAAGTAATTAAACATAAATAACCAGAAAAGCCTGAAATTCAAAGTAATTATGTCAAAAAAAAATTATAAAGAACATACAAACACACCGGTAGAGTTAGAGAAAAAGATGAATGGATTGCGTAAAAGGTGACATGATCAAGAAGGGAGTGTTGACTGAGATGACTGAGAATCGAGTTATATAGAGAACCAAAGCCCGGTGCGCCGATCCTACGGTAGTAGGATAAGGTAGAGGAGATAGGACTGTTGGGTATCTACTACGAGATCTTAAAGGTTGTTCATATTTAACTTACTTTTCAGCAGGAGTTCGTTCTTTCTCTCCGATGTACTTAAGTCCATGAAGGTTGGAATTGGCCGTGTAGTCTATCAAATATTCCTTAATGGTAAATCGTTTACCCCTTCTGATTTGTGGTGCTTCATGACTTTTCTCCAAATCATTGTCCACACGCCCAACACTACTCGATCTAAAATTAAATTAAGTTTTTATTAACTATTGTTTTTTTTATTATTTTTTTAATGTTACTAAAGAGACAGAAACCTCGAGTGTCGCTTCATGGTGTCCAGGACTAACTGAAGTAAATCGCATAATGCTTTTTGTATGCTTTTTATTTGGGCTTGGTTATTTAAAATTGGATAGAACCATTACGAATATCCCCGAGGATTTGTCTGCCAATTATGAAATTAAAATGTATACCCAGAAATATTCCCATAACATAACATTTCACCTACTATCCCAGGGGTGCCTATAATCAGAATTACATAATAAAATTTAAGACTACCAAGTATGTTTATCCAAAACAATGTTTCGCCTTGTCTGATACGTAAAATACGCATAAAGGTGTATAAACAACAATTGGTCAAGAAACAAATTAAATCTCAATTTTGTTTAGAATTTATAACTTTAAACAAATTAAACATAACAGTTGACAGCCCTAAGTTATATGCGTTGCAAAGTGTAACTGTATACGAAATAAAATACGTATAATATGACGAAAGTATTATTAAAGTACTGTTTCATTCACATAATATACTACTTACTCGTATATTAAACTGACCCACCTATCTTTTGACATCAACATTCATTAGTTTGATGGCAATTAAGTAGATATTAAATTTAAAAACATGTATGTCCTTTACGAGTTGTGCGGACATAAGTATATAATATCTTTATGATATAATTTAAAAATAGAATCGATTGTTTTTTTAAATTAGAGACGTATTCAACCAACTACTTTTAGCTAACACTGCCTAGAATATTTTAATATCGCAAAAAGTATTTATATCGAGAGAAAAAATAACGAAACAAGTAAATGATTATTGATTTGGTACAAATATGAAATTGAACACGTTCAGTCAACAATTCGACCTTGCTAATAGATTGTTAAAGTATCTAATGACATAAATATTTTATAAGATGGAGCCAAAGGTGGAAATCAAGGCCTTCAACTCTCACATCGACAAGCCGTGTGCTTTATTATTTACAGTATCGGATTTAAGTATTAAAATGTGTTTAGTTAGAATTATACCTTTTTCAGAATTAAGTACCAATTTGTTGTGTCTGCAGATGATAGCTCGTCTAAGAGCACAAGCGTACCTTCTAGGTTAAGATGAATGTATGGTGTAGTCTAAAGTAGGTATTATTGGGGATAAGAACGATACCTAAATCATACTACTAAAGCCTTTATTTCTTGTTGAGGTGATAAGATTAAAGCTAGATACTTTTAATATTTTAAATTCACAACAAGACTCTTTAGACTAAGGGTAAAGAAAGTTATAGGAAAAGGAGTAGAAAGGTAATCTTCGTTCAATACGTAATATTTTATTCCATTACTCGATTGTGTTAAAAATTGTTTTTAGTTAGAAAACTACTAAAACAATTTTACTGACTTTTGTATAGAGGGTTAGGTTATAATTTATTAAAACAACCACAAGCTAAGATAGACAAAAAATAAAACCGTTAGTTTGTATTTGAGACATACATAGTTTATTGGTTTTATCATCTAGCAGAGAATGTAAACAAACATGTAAATAATCGATAGTAAATATCGATTAAGTATCAACAAATCGGTTATGAAATAACGTTCAACGTTAATGAACAAGGAACTTGTGATTCATGTGAACGATATTGACGGGTAATAGCGTATTGTAATCCAAACATAATAATGTACGACAAGAAGTAAAGAGGTTATGTTATAATTGTATAGGAATTTTAATTGTTACACTAACAATAACGCAAACTTCAATTATTACATTCATTGATTTAACAATAAAATAACTAACCTAGAACTTAATACACCAATGATTGTATTATAAACATTATTGAAAAATAGACTAAATAAATTTCAAGTCAGATCATTCAGACTAAACCCGTGTTTGGTTTCTTAGAAGTTTTATCTCGATATTTATTTTAGCAAATTCCATACTCGCAGACCTCATTATTTTACCGTATTCATTTACAAAGGTTAATTATATTTTTCCCTTATTACATGATTTCGCAATCATTTTACATGGGTGTTTAATATTTTTTGGTAAATTCACTTATTTGTTTGATCCGCCATAATAAAACATTTTCATATTTTGAAAGTTATTAATATAGTAAGCCAATAACTTTAAGATAATCGTTAGCTAATTATAATTATGTACTCTTGAGAACAAGTATCTAAAATTTAACCTAATGATTTAGGCATAACGTACACTTATGAGTTATAGAAAACGAGGGTTTTCAATTCGATTTCTATACAATAAGTTAGCGGTGTCGAACTCAAGGCCATGTGAGGTCGGTGTATAAGTGTTTGTGTTTGGGTGTAGAGTTATTACCATATACACAATGATTGCGGCAAGATTAGACAAGCCGTGGAGCTGTGTGGCGCGGCGTGTGCGTGCGGTGCGGTACGGCGAGCCCGCGTCGGCGTCGATTCGTCCTTCCCCCACGACTCGATGACTCGATTGTAATAACACCACGTTTTTTACATTATAGGGACATTTAATTAACACGTTCCGTAGTATTGCTTTTTTATGATAATAAACAATCCAGTCGAGTCAATAACATTAAACGTTTTGGTATTTCGAGTGCCAGGTATTCGCAATAGATGGGCAGAGATCTGTAACCTAGCAGAATTATTTCTATTAAAGTAAAAAAAAAAGCTCATGTTTTACTTTCCCATTTTAATACATATAGTTAATGAGTAATCATTCATATATATACATAATCATTTTAGATAACGAAAATCTATTTTGCCGATGGGACAATTTTTTTCTTAAGAATAGAGGCTTTCTATAGGACAAACTACCCTCCCACAAGATAGACAATACGGGAGTTTATTAGTTAATAGGGGCGATGGATTGATATCTGTAGTAATTTCATCTAATAGGCGAAGACTTTATCGTGTTACGTAATGATTATAATTCTGTATGTCCTTTTATGTCCTGGACAGTCTGTCGTTATCAGACAGTGTGGTGACTGTATTAGCGAGAGGACGCACGCGGAGCGAGTGCGAGGCACTGACTGCGGCCCAGCGGGCAGCTCAGCTAGTGTCAGTGAGGTCGTACGATAGTGAGCATCTCGACGGCGCGCTCCCATATACACATTACGAAAAAAATCTCTCTTACCTTTTTTTGGCGGGTAATTCGCAACAATGTCGGCCACCGACGAACTGAGCGGCATTCTCTCGAGGCGGCAGGAGATAAATGAAAAACTGGAAGAAGGGCTCGAAGTTAAACCTAAATATAAATATGTGAATGTTTTTACCGAGTTTCATGAATTCACCAGGAAGGAAATAAAACAGTACGAGGAGACCTTTAACAAGTGAGTGGCCTTTTATTAAATTGATTTTTTTGCATTACCTGAGAGGAAATATGTCTACATGTATTCGTTTATATTAATAATGAAGGACTAGTAATTTCTTATAACAGACATCTACCCTACCTTATAGGAATTCAATAAATAAACAACTGTGTTAAAATTAGAGGCAGTAATCCAAGCAGTATTTATCAGTATTTCAACGTACTGTATTTTATCAGTTTCGGTATGTAGGTAGATGTTTATTACTTTTTCCATTTTATGGCATTTGTACTGAACAATTCATTTATAAAAATCACTAAATAGCGTATTGAAATTTAAATAGAAATCTACCTATAAGGATAAATAATGCGGTACGCTGACATTTACCTAACAATAAATAAATTTGAAATTCCAAAAATAACTTTCCTTATAATTTTTATTTTTCATTCATATTAGTGAAAGTGGTAACTTACAGTGTACTGAACATTATCTAATACAAAATTAGTGCAAGTTTAAATCAACAATGCTTTCGTAGTATTGTGTGGCATGGCCGTCGTGGGAGACAAATTGAATGGGGAGTTGTGTTCATCAGAGAGTGTTATTTCATTAGAAACTTTCATTTACCTATCTTATGAGATTACTCAGGATTCACACGCAAATTGTCACAATTTTACGTAACTGAATTTTCTCAATTATTACGTCAAACACGTGGTTCTCTCTAACCTAGACGCCTAACCCTTCATTGGGAAAACGTAATACTCAAATATTATTTCATTATACTTTAATACTTCATATATTACTCAACTTTTTCTTGCTCAATGACGAATGAAAATAAATAATAATTATTAAATACACGAACTCGAAATAAACAATAGTTTCAACACTAAAAAAATATAAATTGCCACCAACGAATAATTTTTAACTACCCGCATATTTCTTCATCAATATCGATTTTGAGTCAGTAAGTTTTGTTATACGGTGTATTAATACAACTAAACAATGAATGAAATTGTTTACAAATCGTTAACTGGTATTATACTATGCTGTAATAATAATAACATCGATTCAATAAATAAGTATGCGTAACTACCGCGTAGTGATTTGTATGGATGACTGTTTCCGTCTTTGACGTGGCTTACTTTAAGAGATGAATGAAAAGGCGGTAAACTTTACTGGGTACTAAATTATCATATAACCAATTAAGACGTCGTGGGACTCTGTTAAGTACTATTTGTCACGAAGGACCCTCGCCGACTTTGCTGTGGCATAAGGTGGAAAAAAATTTCGCTTAAATTGTTACCCGCCCATAGAAAAAGTATTGTGAAAAAAAGCAGTTTAGTAGTTTTTTTTTTAATTTATCCTAAATATTTTTTTATGTTACATGTATCTTTATTGACTTATTTTGGACGGATAGATTTTCTTAGAATTTGCAGCCTAAACTGCTGAATTGATCTCGAAGAAATTTACTAGATATATAGTCGGGAAGAAAAAATAAGCAACTTACTTTTTTAATTTCACGCGGACGGAGTCGCGGGAAAGAGCTAGTTTGTGTATAAAATATAAAAAATGCGAAATATCTGATGTATGACTTAATTTACCGGATATTATTCACACAATCGTCATTAAAAATGAGTAACTGATTAGTAAACAGTTTTGCATGTAACTTAATGGTCACATCTACTCACTAACATAGACAATATTTCGCGCTAAAATACAATTCGTGTTAAAATGAAACTGACAATGAGTCAACAAAGGGGTTACCCTTGTGACTCATTAAATTACTTTGTTTATTATATTTAATTGCATTTGCGTTTCTATTTCACTATTAATTAATTTAGGGCGTAGTTAACAAGTTACCCTTTAAAACATGACATACAAAATTTAATTTATTGCATTTTTTAAATTTTCACTTGCTTCGCATATAGTTTTAGTTTACCCATTCTTTCTATTTTAATAATAATTATAGTTTTATTAGTAGATGATAGAATCTTTAGTTACTGTTTCGTTTTGACTAAAAAACCTTGTAGTTAGTGTAATGAATCTTGATGGCGAACATGCGGTTTACACTTTTCGCTATGATCTAAATGCGGTCTCACAAAAAATTGCTTGAAGTAATTAAATTGCCTTGTGACTGTACCGCATTAAAACTTTGCAATCGTGATTTTATTTTATTATATTATTGCTAAATACGCGAAACATCAACCAATTTAAAAATAATAAACCCGGAACTGCATACTTTGACCTATAATATGGAAAGATGACTTATAAGGTGAAACACGTGTTACAATGAAAATCGAGTTTTGAAAGTTGTTTTAAGGTTATGTGTTATAATTTTTCTACTGTATTGTGAATCATTGCTAAGAAATTACGATAAGGAGTGTTGTACATTATGTTGGACATTGGCTGTGGTTTGTTTGGCAGGAAGTGCAACGTTCAGTCTAGATATCACGCGACAAAATCAATGTCCCTTCGACTGAGATGAGTCAACGAACTCTACTTACAATAAAATTTTCTGCAGCGAAACTTTTCTGATTTCCTTACCGGCTTATTTAAAATTCTAATTCTGCTTTATGTTACTCACCATTATACGTAAATGGCATAAAATATTTTTATATGACGCGTATGAACATGGATCTCTGAATCATTCCGTTTTCGTAATGAATCAACGTATAAAGATGACAAATTTGGAATAACTAAGTCTCCTTATGTGCTTATATACTTAACTGGCGTTCATATTCGTAAACATTGTTATATACCGTTATTTGAACTATTCAAATATGTGCAAAGATATTTCTTGCGGATGACAAAAGCAAAGGAAAGGCGTTCCAGATTCGAATTTTCATTCCATTCATTCGCTTTAGAATCGAGGTTAAACAATATTTGAATGAAATTAAAAAGTATTCCCTTCATTACTCAACTTATGTACTCAGGTGTACATTCTTGAGCGCTCACCTCGTAAAGGCGTTATCGTTCACACACTAATCTTATCTCTGACATAATGTAAATAATACAACCATTATATACTGACAAAATTTCGACGAAGCTTGTTATCTTACTCCAGAGTGTTGTATGTCCACTTATCTCAAATTAATAATGATGACAAATTATTTTAAACGGAAACCGTTATTATTTGATTTGTAATTTAAATGCTACTTTGACAGTAACCGAATGACGTATATTTTTTATTATTTTCTTTATTTCCTGCTGCTATATTTCTTGCAGCAACCTTGTTGTCTTTGTAGTTAATTCTTTTTTTTTTCTAGTTCTTTACCTTGCTTTTATTTTTGTTTTTGTTTATTTAATGGCATATATTAATAGCAACGACTTATAGATTACAGAAAGTAACAAAGAAACATATATGCGAAAATCATATCCCTCTTACCTAAAAGGCTTGGGAGAGACTTTCGAAGACCAAACGGGTAGAAACCTAGAAGCTGTAGCCCTCTTACAATACTTTTTTTACCTTCTGTCTATCGTGTCAAAAATTAATTTAAAAAATACTTAATAAGTAGGTAATGTAAAGGTGCAAAAGCAGCAAAACTCATAGCTTATTGAATTGTTATCAAATAGTCAAATACAAGATTATTATTTCACTAAATTATCTGTAACATTTAAATTTCTATAAAATAATTAGAACATACTAGATATTGTTATCAGCTTTTTATCGTGTCGTGAAAATTGACCAGTAAATTGCGATGTAAGAGCTAGAGTATGTCAAATATTTTTAGGGAAAAAATTAGAGATATAATTTGACCTCGCTTAGTTTAAAAGATGTTTATAAAAATATGTAGTATATTTTTGCGCGTTATTAATGAAATAGTAACAATAGATCAACACCAGAATCATTTTTATTTAATTTATTTCAAAGAAAGAGCGATATAACATAAGATCTCATAACACGTACTATTGATTTGAGGTTGTAATTATTTAATGTATCGGAATGTAGAACGCAAACACCATAATATGAAGGAATTTGTATATTTTATTTCATTATGGGAACTTTATTGTCATGGGGTACCGTATACCCACCAACACCACACAATATTACGACATAATGAACAAAATGTCTACCATAATCATATCTATTGATTACAAATATTCTTTGATCGATATTTTGACTTCTTTATGGTTAACTACTACCCTTAACCACAGTCCCATTTGATGTTTAAGTCCCAACTGCTGATATAGGAAACGTTTTACCGCTACCAGTACATTATTATTTAATGGTTACATGATAAACTAACAAGAGATTCATCTTCATTAACAAATAGAAGTGATAGTTTAGAGAGAAATAAAAAATAATTAGGAGTTTTATAAGCTCCACATAATACCATCTAGGCTACTGTATTGTGTCTGTAGGTTTTAGTGTTCCAATTGTTAAAAGGACATATAATCAATGGTGGGCTGATTGACGGAGTGAATCACACGGTATCAAGTCGCAAATTGTTCAAACATAAATTATTCTGAGTACGTTACATTGGGTGGCGTGTTTATTTCGCCTTCCGTTCGCGTCGCGTTGACCGCGCTCTTATTTTAGGCGACCCCCTCGATCATGACGGAACTTCGACATTGCCACTTTTATTAGTACAGTCACGTGCAATTATGTTATAAATGATTTCTATTATTCGCTGTATATTGTAATAACACTTTGACGTTGGAACTTAGGGTTGACAAAAATTATTTCAGAACTAGCTTTCGGCCGCGACTCCGTCCGCGTGAAATAAAAAAAAACAAAAGTGAGTAGCCTATGTGTTCTTTCAGATTATCATCTACATCAATTTAATCGAGATCGGTTAAGCCGTTTAGGCTACAAACTCTAACAAACATCCATCCATCTAAACTTTCGCATTTATAATATTTATTATATATTATATTATATGATATAGTAAGAAGTAAGACAGTGAGATTAGTAAGATTTTATCAATATCTACTAGTCTTTTTTGCTTTAATAATATGCTGTTAGATGGATATTTCAACTCCTTTGCTGGTGTTTTTAGTTTTAAAACGCCATTTTTTAATTTAAA